CTCACTCATCCCACCTCACTCATCCCACCTCACTCATCCCACCTCACTCATCCCACCTCACTCATCCCACCTCACTCATCCCACCTCACTCATCCCACCTCACTCATCCCACCTCACTCATCCCACCTCACTCATCCCACCTCGCTCATTCCACCTCGCTCATCCCACCTCGCTCATCCCACCTCACTCATCCCACCTCACTCATCACACCTCGCTCAACCCACCTCGCTCATCCCACCTCGCTCATCCCACCTCACTCATCCCACCTCACTCATCCCACCTCACTCATCCCACCTCGCTCATCCCACCTCACTCATCCCACCTCACTCATCCCATCTCACATCCCACCTCACTCACATGAATGTCTATTTCAGTACCATGCAAAGAGCCAATTTAGATTGACCTAAGATAGGAATGTCTATTTCAGTACCATGCAAAGAGCCAAATTAGATGAGCCTAAGATAGGAATGTCTATTTCAGTACCATGCAAAGAGCCAAATTAGATGAGCCTAAGATAGGAATGTCTATTTCAGTACCATGCAAAGAGCCAATTTAGATTGACCTAAGATAGGAATGTCTATTTCAGTACCATGCAAAGAGCCAAATAAGATGAGCCTAAGATAGGAATGTCTATTTCAGTACCATGCAAAGAGCCAAATTAGATGAGCCTAAGATAGGAATGTCTATTTCAGAACCATGCAAAGAGCCAATTTAGATGTGCCTAAGATAGGAATGTCTATTTCAGAACCATGCAAAGAGCCAAATTAGATGTGCCTAAGATAGGAATGTCTATTTCAGTACCATGCAAAGAAAGGCTGAGCACGGAAGTTCCTCCCATCACTGAATAATGATAATAATTGAACAATTTCGTTAACTGTGGAAAAAATGATATTTTCAAACATAAACCACGATGACACTTAAACAAGTGATAAACCAACCCATATGGAATAACATTATGATGGCTTATAATCAACACACCATGGAGGTGTTTTTTTTTCTGTTACTTATCATTTATGACACGTATTCAAAGCGTATATTCCACTCATTTCACTTAAAACCCATTCACTCCTTATGTTGTTTTCTGTTCCAGAATTACCTGGCCTTTCCAAGAATGGGCAGATCGGTAAGTCCCCCAAAAACCACTTAAATGTTGGCAAAAATAATTATTACAGTAAAACTATCCACATGAAACTAAACTATACTTTAGGTTTTATATGTATATTTATAAACTTTTCATTGATCCTCTATTCACTTCAAAATTCTTTTATGAAAGCTGTTTTGTTACTCTTGAGTTTTGTGTCAAAAAACGTGTGCTAAAAAAATAATAATTTGATATTCGAAGAAGACAGCAGTGTTTGGATTAACTTTTTTTTTAACATTAATAATTTCTCTTTTTTTTTTTTTTGTTGCTCGTTAAGATTTTGCTCAGTGCCTTACCAGTCAATATCTATGTTAGATGACAGATGACAGACACGTTGTTACTATTCAAATGTATTCATCGTCATAAGAAGCAGAGCCATACATATTATGTCACTGACATACATCTTTTTGTCTCAAGGAGAAGACAAGTCCATACTGTAAAGAAACTATTCAGAACTTAAAGACCCATTAGTTTGTAGGATTTCCACACAGTTAAAGACGTCAATTTTGATCACGTGGGCTACATGATATGGTTCCTCTCATATGTCTCAAATTTTGAGCAAATCTAGAAGAGCACCATTAATATAAGAATTGCTAACAAAAAAAAAAAAATTAATGTAACTTTCAACTCCCAGAATAGATTCACTCAATATATTATTCCCAATCCCTTTATTTACAACATTTAACTATGTATAATAGGCAAGAAATAATTTGTTATACTTCTAATTAGTGTTGTTTTTACAAAACTCTTGAAAACTCTTGTAAATTGAGTAATAAAAAACATTCATTATTTGAGTTGCTCTGGACCAGTGTTTTTTATCGGCTTAGGTTATAGATAAATTAAATCCATCCACCCAGGGGCGTTATTTCAGGTTTTTTTTTCAGGGAGGGGTGGGGGGGAGGCAAAAACAAATCTTGGTCGCTTTGTTAAGTTCTTTATTATTGAAGGCGCCTCGTTACATAGCAATTTAAATAAAACCTGCAAATTCAGGGAAGGGCAAATGCCCCACTCTGCCCTACCCAAATGACGTCCCTGCGTCCACCCTGTAACAGTAATACTGACAATTATTTCACTCAATAATTTCAAACAGGTATCTGACCAACCCACAAAAATTCTGACAATTATTTCACTACGTAATTTGAAACGGGAATGTGAAATTTTATTTCATGATCTATTTCTTTGAGGGACATTAAGTGCATAAGGTATATTTTAGTTGTGACTTTTGTTCAAATATGCCACAAACTCACACACACATACAGTGCTAATGAACATAAAGTCAATATGGCCTTGAACCTAATGAACCATCATTACACCGGTTGACTTATTTCAGGAGGTACAGAAGAAGCCACAACTACCTTGGAACTACATTGTTCCAAGAAAGAGGGGCTTGCCCCAAGGATTTATTCTTCCAAGAAAAAGGGCAAGAACTGCCACTTCCAGTTTTTTGTTTGAGTTATACTCTCTTGTCTCCCTTTCCATGTGCTGCCGTAGACAGACTGCATGAAGTTAACAACTTTTCAATCGCACTGTAGCTAGGATCTCGCAAATAAGAATAAGCGCCGTGGGGGGGGGGGGGGGGGAGGGGGGGGGGGGGGGGGGGGGGGGGGGGGGGGGGGGGGTCTAGGTAGTACGTAAAAACCGATTAAAATTCATTTATATCTTTGGATTTCTCAAGTAGAACATTCAAAAAGTAATGGATGAAGCAAAAACGTATTTAAGTTTGTATGTATGTAATTCTATTTTCTAGTTAAATTTATAAATATTTTTTTTTAATATCGTGTAAGCAGCTCACATCTAATGACTTAATTGTACATCATGTGATACGGATGACGTGATACGTCTGGAACTAATGCCTAGAAACGAACATTTTATTTATGAAAAATAAGAAATGTAACACTGATGATTTAAGATTTGAAAATGGTAATGTGTTTTGTGAAAAGATGAATTTTGAAGGTGTGTGCTTTGGGGTTGTGAATAATACTCTGCACTAACAGGTTTCGTTTAACATTAACTGTTACTAAAATTAGAAGTTTTAGCGTAAATGAAATGTTGAGCAAACAAATTGCTATACTTCATTACCTTGAATGACTACACGCTCAAACCAAAGAATTAAAATGTTAGGATTGTGGGTTTTTTTTGATGTAACTTAAAATAATTTCATGTTAAGCTGGTAATTTAAGAAACATGGTTTTTAAGGTACTTCTGATAGATTTCTTCATAGTTACAAGAGATATGTATACATCGGATGACTGGAATGTTAGCATAAGTAGTTTAGTTGCAGCTGTTGGCGCGTTCACTGCAGTGACACTCACCTCAAGGGTTCGAACCCATGTTGTTTAGCTGCACACTGATTGTCCTAACACCTATGCCATGCACCACGCTGACGTTTAAACCCGCAGCAAATAGAGGCGTCTGTCTTTTAAACTCTCGCCAAGAGTGCTCACTGTTTTGTGCCTTGTTTCCATGTTAATAACATCACGTGTGTCAAGTCTCGCTCTCTAACACCATTTCCAGGTCTGCTTAGCTAGCAGTTGAAGTCTCAATGTCTTAGATCTAACACGGTGTTCTTTCTTATCTATGCAGTCAGGGGATCTTGTCTTCGTTTTTGTTACTAATCTTTTAGTGAAACAAATTAACAATCGGAACCTGCTCGTTGTGACCTTTCACCTTGTCTAACATGTGCTCGTCTCCAGTAGTGACCTAAAATTTAGACGTCATTTCGATCTAGCTTGTAGATTCACCCCCCTCAGAACTTTAGCATTCATTTTTCGAACACACCCCCCCACGCCCCCTAGAAACACCACTAAAAAATGTGCCTTACTAACGCCCTCTCTTTCAGTGACCATGTCGTACTAACACCAAGCCACCAACGGCACGCAGTCTTGCCCCCACATGGGCGTGCAATATGTGTTGTGCTAATCAAACAAGTTTTCTACTAACATGATTCTGTTGTGGCGTGAATTAACAATGAAATAAGATTCCCATCTGCCAATGGAGTTAATTTTTTTTTTAACAATAATATAATGCCAGTTATTGGACAAAAAAGTTATTGAATCAGAATTGTTTTGTTTTTTTAATCTACAGCAATGTTACCAAAAAAAATATACTGTGATAACTTCTCAATAACTTCATGTTGATAAATTATTCTTTTACATATAATAACTTGACCAATGGCCATTTACATTTTTTTGTACATTATTGTTATATTTTTATGTTGATGTCATTGTTTTTTTTTTTGTTGTTTTTTCAAAACTGAAATTTTAAAACATAATTTGGAATAATTATAATTATTGTATCCGTTTATTAAAATTATAATAACTGCATGTTAATGTTACGATACTCAAAACTAACTGGCTCTCCTTTACTCTAACAAGCCTAAGTCTGTTTTTAACGCAAATCTATTTTCTAATATCCAGGGTTATCTCGCCTTTCCACGCATGGGCCGTTCACATTTCAAGTCTGAAACTTCCGCTGACGTCACCGGATGTTGCGGGGTGGGGATCAAGAACGAGTTCCTGATTGGTCAGGACGGAAAGGAAGAGATCAGATCTGCTTGCGGGGCGCGTGCTGACTGCTGCGAGGGACTGAAGGAAGTGGTCGACCAGAAAAATGACGGCGTCTACTTCTCCATGTGTGTCCCAGACATTACCTTTGCCCAGGCTTCAGTGAGTCGAGACCAGTGGTGATCAACTGCTTTTTCTTTCTCTTTGTTTTTTTTAAATTTATGGATTCTTTGAAAATTTTCTATAATATATAACTTTTCGCACATACCCAGACCTGTTTACCCCTAACCTTTCGCCGTAGTAACTACGCTGTGAAGCCTTAGACTACGGCACTACGACGAGCCTAAAAAAAGCTACGGTTTCCATGAGATTTTTTTTCTTCGTTTCTTTGGTTCATTTTTAATTAAAAATAAATAATGTGGAGGAGTTTTCAGTACCAAAAAAAAAAGTGACCGCATTTCTTTGTTAACACCGTAAGCCATCGAAAAGAACCACATCCTTCAAAATTTCGGAGAACCATGACTTTTTAATTTCTTTATATCAACTTATGTAAGCAGCAAAGGAGCTGAGTGGATTTTCTGACACAAGTTATATTTTGATTGTAAAACACCACCTCCCTCAATCGCTCATTGACCAAACTACTCCTTGCAGCTTTAAGCTACGTTTTTTTTGAGACCTGAAAACTACTCTGACACGAGCCCCGGGGCTAACAGGTCTGCATACCCCAAAATATTGACGTCAATTAAATTTTATAATAAAATTACATGCTTTTTAAGCCATTAATGCTCTCATGCGTGCAGCTATAAGAATGTAAGCAAACTTAACTATAAAGACTGCTGTCACTGGCCTGAAAATTCCCAATTTGTCTTTTTTTTTATATACGATCTAATGTTTAAAGCTAGTGATCGAGTTATTGATGATGAAAGATAATGAATGCACTCAACTTCAAAACAGTGTGTGTTTTAAAGGGATTGCTCCATGTTGTCACAAAATTAAAATCACCAAAATAGTCACTTCACGTTGATAAGTACTCAATAACTGATCAGGTGCAGGGAGGCCATGTTGTTTGCAGATTTTCCACAGCGCACCAAGTTACAGCTCGATAGATAACGGGAAGTGAGTCAACACGCCTTGTGCATAGAACGATATTGGTTCATGAGCAGACGCTGATCAAAATTTTAGTCGTGAAATGGGATATCCATTGTTTAAAACAATTTATATTAACTTTCTCTTTTATTCGTGTGTTTCTTTCTGGCCGACGAATGTATGGTAAAATCTTGGAACTGCTAATTGACTCATTTCTCGTCGACCTATCGCGCTGAAACTGGGCACATAGACTCGTTGCCGATGACAACACCTTCTTTCAAATGTACAGCCCCAACCCCCAAAAAGTCAGTTTTTTTTCCTGGATTTCTTTATACAGAGTGTTGGGGGTGGTGAGGGAAATATAATGACACTGATTTAAGGAAATAAAATTCCCGATAACCGCGCTAAATGAGATTATTTTTCTTTTAATTTATCGCAAGTGGGTAAAGGTACGTAAAATTTTCTTTTTTTTTTTTTAATAGTTGGTGAAACAAATCTGCGGTTTAAAAGAGGGCTGAACATTAGAAGTGTAATATACTTTAGGGGCTTTGAACAAAAATGTTCGGTTGCGAGCTTTAGGTGGGGATAACCTAATTGGGATTCTTTATAAAGTGTGAAACTCGTATGCATGTTTTGTCAAATTTTTCAGGCCTCTCCCCCCCCCCACCACACACACACACCAATTGCTCGATATTACAATTTTATTAAGGTTTTATACACACACAAAACTTTGTTTTTTAGGAGTTGTTCAGTTAACGTTCAACATGGCTCTAAAATAATGTGATCATTTCACGGCGCATCGCTTCTTCCCATCCTCAGAGTGTCCGTTCTTCGGAAGTCTTCAACAAGTTGAAGAGCCTCTTGGAGAAGTGATGACCTCGCCAAGGCAGTCGTTTCCATCTTTCGCGTTGTGCAATAGTGGGGGATACTAAAGATCATCATGAACTTATCATACAGACTATCATTTGAAATTGTTATACCGTTAGTACTTTTCACAGACAAATAGAACTTCGTCATTTTTTTTTAAAATATTTTCCCAGAAGCTACTGGGGGCGGGTGAAATGTGGGCTAAAATAATTCAAATAATTATATATATATATTTCAAACAAACAAAAAACTCAATATACATAAAAAAGGTTTTTTGTATAATTCATTAGTGTATTATGCATTGTGTTTGAATATTTAAATATAAAATAAATAAAAGTTTTCAAACTACAAAATACTTTATGATTTATTCTTTTGATGTGTAAAAGAATTGACTGAAAATAATTTGTAACTGAAAATGTCAGGTGCATTGTGGGTAGATAAGCCTGGCTATTTTCACGATTTCCTGAATTCAGCAAACTCTTCCCTTATTTTCTTCTCTTATCCAACTGCAAATATCTTAGCAGCACTTGAATCTGTATGACGCGTCATATCAAACCACTGGCAAATAGCTTAGCAGTACTTCCATCTGTATGATCTGTCATAGTAAACCACCGGCAAATAGCTTAGCAGTTCTTGCACCTGTATGATCTTTAATAGTAAACCACCCGCAAATAGCTTAGCAGTACTTGCATCTGTATGATCTGTCATAGTAAACCACCGGCAAATAGCTTAACAGTTCTTGCACCTGTATGATCTTTAACAGTAAACCACCAGCAAATAGCTTAGCAGTACTTGCATCTGTATGATCTGTCTTATCAAACTAACGACAAATATCTTAGTAATGCTTGCATCTGTATGAGCTGTCATATAAAACCACCGGTAAATAGCTTAGTCATATTTTGTCTTAGCTTTATCGCAATAGAAACCCTAGACCGGGCATTTTGAGTTCTCGTTTGATGAATTAAAAATGGAAGACATGCTTATTAACAAAACTTAGATGGCATTTAACCTTAGCACCATCGTTTGAGCCCAGCACCCCCTATGACTCCAGTGGGGGGTCTAATATTTTAGAGCAGGGGTCACCAAACTACGGCACGCGAGGTGAGTCTATTCGGCCCGCCGACGGTACAGGCACTTGCTTGATAAAACGTATGGAACACGAGACTTTGTGACACCATTTAAATTTCAAGATTATGTTTAGTATAATATGAGATCGTCAAACGTGCGGATACCTGGCTGTTATGCGCCTTCATTTACCATTTTAAATTATTGTATCTAGATTTTCTTGCTTATTACAGACTTGTTTACCCTCGAAAACCTAAAATCGTACAATATCGTCTCAAAATCGTACAATGCGGTATCATAATAGTAAATAAATAAATAAATATTACAGTATGTAAATGAATACAATAACTACTCGCATCGCAGTGCCCACGGGAGCGAGTCAAGCTGGCGTCAAAACAATTCACTTCTAAAAGTAGATGACCGACGAGTATATTGCAATCTGCCGTCACTTTGCTTTGCTGACGTGTATTTGCTGCAGATAATTATTTATGTTGGGTGGACGTACAGATCACATTATCACAGTCTATCATTGGTAAAAATAAAATCACTGGTGAAATTTAACGTGGTTCAAACTCGAACTCAGATCAGCATAAAACAAGATGTATTGAAATAAGAATTAATTAACAAATAATGACATCATTTAAAAAAAAATCTACCAAGTAACTTGAGGTTGTTGTTTTTAGGAAAATCTGGTTTAAAAAAATAATGATAATAAAAAATAATAATCAATCTCCATTAAGCCTATTCCCACTAATACATTATAGTCTGATAACTACCGCAAACTGTAAATGGGTGAAAAGAGGAAGTGTGTTGGAAACATACGAGAGCATTAAAAACCCTACTCCTTGAGGTTGGAACTGACAGCTCTTCGGCAAGTTCAGTTGTGCAGAGAACCGAAGAATTTGGAGAGAACATCGTGCTACAGATACGTGAGAAAGCTAGGAACTTGCTGTAATATTCTCTGGCACTGGATGAGTCACAAGATCTCTCACAACTTTTCGTGTTTTTTTGTTGTTGTTTTTTTGGTTTTTTTTGTGTGGTATCAATTAGGATTTTCGGAAAACGGAATTGTTGGCATCCGTTTGCCGCATGCATGGAACGGAACAACGTAATATGTCAAAAAAAAGTATGTCAAGTCAACACATCGAACGCGAGTGACTGGTGAACATTTGAAAACAATAATTCTTTTTATAGGATGCCTAAGAGTGTTGGACTGCGATAAAGCTTTAAAAGAGATTAATTAGACACGAACAATTTATTTTGTCCATATAACAGCATATGTTAAGCTTTAAAATAATTTTACATAATACACAAGTAAACGTCTCGGCACAAGCCTTCATCAGTGTAACAACATAACAGTTAAATAAGTCTAAATTAAATTTACATACTATAAATATACATATATCCTACTTTTTTTTTTTTTTTTTAAAGAAAAAAATAGGAGTGGGCGCAAAAGCCAGACAGAAACAAAGTAAAGAAGAAGGAAATTCGGCCTGCCGTGAAAAAAGTTTGGTAACTCTTTGTTTAGAGGCTTTAAGATGTTATGAGGATATGTTCTTAATTATCATCTTTCCATACAAGGTGAGGGAGGACAAAGTCGAAAATTTGTACGGGCCTCGACAAGTCGAGCGACGCCGGCGACGGCTCTGCTATCTTGATCTGCTTGTGTTATGCATATATTTTGTATATTATTAAAGAGTAATGCTGATTTCATTTACATTATTAAGGGGGTAGCAACTTAATTAATATTGGAAGGTTTCAAACACTAAAACATTAATTTGCATATTGAATGCAAATGAAAAAAAAAATGAAGGAAAAAATGACTTATTTCCTTTTCTAAATATTTCCAAGATTTACCAGATTCACAAAGAACAAAAATCTGTTAATTACAAAGGTCTATATATTTTTATGGGCTTAGAAAACGTTTCATTTTTATAAATCGTATGTTACGGCATAATTGTGTTAAGAAGACACGAGTTGTTCACAAAAGATGTTATAGGCCTAGATCTAGATTTATGTGTGATTTTATCTGAGGGAAATTGATTTTTTTTTTTTAAATGTCCGATTATTCAGTTGATATTTAAATTTGTAATTTAAAACTACTATAACTTTCTTCCGATTAATTAAAAATTGCTTCTTCTGTGTACTTTAGAATTAACTTCGTGTCGGATTGACGATGGCATGAAACGCTGATCAATAAAAAAAAAAAAATTTAAAGTTTGTTTGTTTCTTTCCCTAGCAATTTGTTTTAAAATTACTTTTAATCAGAGTGATTTCCCTTCCATAAATGATAAACATCCGGATTTTTTTTTTATTTGCGAGTTTTTACAGATATGTGTTTAAAGCTGTTGTTTTGATCATCTTTGTGTATGTGTGTTTACAGCGGTGTTTCCCAACTTGGGGGCAATCAGATTGTTTAGAGGGGCAATTGGAAAATGAGCAGTCTAGAATTTGAAACCAACCGTCTACTAATACTACTATTACTACTATGATAATGATATAATATAATAATATTTTGAAAAAAGAGCAACATTAAAGTTAAATCATATTATTATAGAGAATTTAATCAAACCATCATATGATCAATATCAGCATTTGTTAAATGGTTAAAGAAAAAGATTACTAAGAATACTAAGTTGTCACTCAGTAACAGTACTGTTAGCAGAAGAATTGCTTATAGAGAGCTATTCAAGGCTATTGGCAGTCTAGCCAATCAAATCAAACCATAAAATCCCATAATCATAATCTTTGCTTAAAAAATCTGCTTCCAATGTTTGTACTAGTGACAAACCTCGGCCCTAATTACAAAATCTACAGTACTATTTTAAAGATTTATCACTATCTACTATCTGCTGTAGCCTTCCCCATGGTCAGATTTGGCTATATAGCAATATAGGCTAACTAACTAACTTAAGAAAATCAGCGAACACCGAGCCCTTGTAGGCTCATATGGTCCTCCCCAACTCACCACCCCGCCAACCAAATCGGCCATCAACCACTCCCCCAGTGGTCTTTATTCCGATCGAGCCGCGAAGCGGCACGCCAGGGACGCTCCGCCCCTAAGACCGCCACACCCGACCTCCACTCGATTGGCCGCTGAGTGTGGCAGCCCCAGAGAAGAAACACCTGGCCAGCCGGATTGCTACTCACGCAGCAACAGGGCCGGGCTTTCTAAGGGGTTGGGGTGGATATTTAACGTCTCTAAAGTCCCCCCTTACCACCCCGGGGGGACCGCGTAGTTGTTTAAGACCGACGCCCTCTACTAGGGTTTGTATGGTTATTCTACGGCGCGACTAATTCACACCGTAGATGGGAGAGAGAGGTTGCCTTGGAGCAGTACCCTCAAGACTGCATATTTAAAATCACCGGTGAAAGGTTGCCACACACCTTCACCTCATATCCATACGGCAACTGTAATCATGTCCCAACCTGTTTCTGCGTTTAGTAAAATAATTCGACTGCACTTGGTGGGAAGCCATGCAATCGTGCTCGATTTAACGCAGTCTCCGTGCGTTACCTTTGCCTTTCAGCGCGGGTCCCCTACACGGTGGTACTGTTCCCCGGGTAACGCTTCAGGGGGTTCGTGGCGAGCGCCTCTTTATCAACATGTCAATAACTAACATGACGACAAGAGCCCGGGGCTAGCAATATAGGCTATATTGCTATATAATTTATAATATAGTATATAGACCTAATATGGATCTTAGTCTTAGATGTATGATACTGAGGGGAAAGGGATCGTAGTATTATTCATAGTCTGAAAAAAATGTTGCCCAGCTTCTTCTTTGCCTAGGCCAAAGTAAGATGTGCAGTAAAAATAAAATCCACTGTAAACATTTTGTGTGTGCTAATTATTATGATTAAAATTATAAATTAAAATACAGGCCTAAATAATTACCATAAGAAGTTTTACTGCATACAAAGTGTGCATATTAAAAACAAAATATTTTTAATTTAGTTAAATGAAACTGTATAAAAATGTGATTAGGCTTTACAATGATAAAATAAGCTTAGGCCAGTCATTGTTTAGGAACATGGTCACATAAACCAACACCATCCTGCTTTGATTTTCTGTTGTTACGAGAAATGTCTACTGAGTGTTATTTACATTAATGAGCACTCATTAACTTATAAAGGCATCTATATTTTTTTTAACAATTAAACAATTTCATTGAGTATATTGTGCAACTATAACGCAAATTAATCAATTTAATGGCTAGGAAGCACTATTTACTATTTATTTTTTAATGCTATGCAGAGTATGCAGAATCAATGTTTGAAACTGCAC